GTAGCTTCTGAATCCGCGGGTGCCCCCGCCATGTCAGCATCTCCTTCGGCGGGCGCGTGGAAGTATTCGACGCATTCAATATCTGCAGGTTGCCCCGCGATGGGTATGCCCAGCCATTCTGCCAAATCGATGTCGTTGTGGCCAGTGAACACCTCCTCGAAAAGCTCGTCGGCGCAATCCTCGAGGGCCATACTGGCGCTGAGATATCTGGCAGCCATGAAGTTGACAACTGCTGCTGAGCTATCGGCAGGGCCAGCTGAAAGAGATCCCAGTCAACATACTGCATGTCGGAATCGGCTTGAGCCAAATGTATTGACGGACCCCTTCCTCTCCTATCGCCTTGGGGGCATTCGTGGCGAAAGTGCTGTGTGCTGTGACATATGTCGCACTCCATAGTCTTACCATTGGCATCCTTCAGGCTTCCCCGACGTCCTTTGCCTTGTCCTGATGTGTGCCTGCGGTTTCTGCCTGCACCTAAAAACATGTCTTCATGCCGTGGTCTGGTGAGGTGTGCTAGGGATGCTAATATGCCTCTACCGTGCAATCGCCGACGCTAACCTGTGCCCTTACTTCGACCTCTGCCTTTTCCTTTGAGTGCTCGTCGTGCGATACGCCGTACCTTGCGGACTGGTTTCTTCGTGGATCGCCGCCATCGGCGCTTGTATTTTTGGTATCGTAAAAATAACAATTGCGCCCGTTGCTCTTCCCTGAGGTATGTAGGCATATCCGAGTAGTCAAGGGCTGTGGTTTCATCGTCCGAAGACGCATCGGTATCAGTACCGGAGTCGAAGTCGGACTCGGCGGGTTGCCCCGCTGCGCCCATTAGGGCCGCGGCTTGCATGGGGGATGCCGCGTCAGGCGGCCCCCGAAGCCTGGCCCAGGAGTCTTGCGACCCCGAGGACGTTCCACCATTTTGAGCCAACCGTGTAATGGTCTCAGTTGGCTGTGGACCATTATTCCAGACGTTGTTAGCAGGCTGCCCTGCGTTAGCCTCCACGTGAAAGGTCTCGGTTCGGTGCCCTAGACTGAAAATACCACCAATATTACCAGGGGTTCTCTTAGCAATGTGAGCACATGACCTCATACGTTCGAGTAGAGCGTCAAGTTGTTGTTGGTCTCTTGGCATGTGAGGGTTTGGAGGCTGCAGGAGTTGTTGTGCACGCGATGTACCCACTCCAAAGGCTCTAAATGACATCACTGCTAAGATTTGGCAGTTGGGGATATTGAAGCTGGCTGTTTCAGCTTCATAAGAGGCCATCTCAAAACATGCTAATGTCTGGTCGATGCGTTCTCCCGCATGGACTCGGAAGTCAATGAGAGAGGTACCAGGGTTGAGTTGGCGCTCCTCTTCCAAATTTTCGAACTCCGTGTTTCAGAGGAACATGATGTAGGTGGCGCCATCAGTATGGCGACCACCTAGGTTGACGCCAAAGTTGATAACTGCTGGAGGAACTCTCATGGCTATGATCCGTGCGAGACCTCCCAAACCACGCTGCAGAGCTGCAGCCTGCTGGGAAGGCGTCATAGTGCGTGTGGTCACGTTGATCCAGGCATGTACTTCGCGGACGAATTCGCGAAAGGGTACTTGACCAGCTGGGCCCCAGTGAGGGCCGGTCGTTCTTGTGTCGTCTCCGCCACGCATATGTATTACCGCACGCCCGATAGCGATCCATGTGGGCCCAAATATAATAGTACCAATCCAATGACCTCGTAGGACGTGGTTGGATGTAGTCGGTTGGGACTTCCGTTGTGTAGTCGTAAGTCTGCGCGGGGGTGGAGGTGGCAATGCGTCGTATCGCATGTTTCCATGCATTATCTATTCGATGAAGCTTCCACTTGGAGTAGGTGGGTGGACTTCAGGAGTGTAGAAACGCACGGATGCAAGACGTACATAAGAGACCTCCGCATGAGCAGAGATATCGCTGCAAGTGTCCTTGCGATAATGCATAGCTATATACATTCCTCCGCGCAGACCCACTGCACCCTGATGTTCCACCATGCCCGTAGTCCATCAGATAATGCCGTGGATGGTGAGGAGTAGAGCAAGAGCTGGCCACCATAGGCAAGCCCCGCTACCAAGTTTGAAGGGGGCTGGGAGGCCCAGCCAGCAGATCCGCCTTAGGCGAAGCCAAGCTCCAGCTCTGTTGTACAGTAGGAACGATAGTCCCAATAGGAGAGGATGTGCCATCTTAAGCAATAGGAAGATCCGTTTGGTCTCGATAGCAATCGTGCGCCTCGCGATGAGGCGCAGTTATATTTGGGCCTCCGGCCGCTTGAGCCGACGCGGCCGCGGGCACACTCTCGCTTCCGCCCCTTACGTCTCTCAGCTCGCTTTAGAAGTAAGAATTGGTGAAAAGCTTGCTCAAGCAGGGTTCCAACGCGCACTGGAGTCCTGGAAGGCGACCAAGATAGCCTTTGACTGGCCCAAAAACCTGTAAAGACGCTCCAAGAAGGCTCCATGACGACCCCCGAGAGGGCCCCAAGAAGCAAGAATCGTCAAAAATCCTGACGGGGAAAACGTCGAATTGGAGCATTACACTTTTTCTGGTTTCAGCAGCGTCCAGAACGGCTCAAGAGGCCCCTATGATCGCTCCAAGACGGCCCGAGAAGCCCCGAAGAGGCCCCAAGACGGCCCAAGAGAACCCCAACAGGGCCCCAAGAGGGGCAACTTGAACTGACCTTCCAAGCCCTCCGCTCCCAGAGTATCCCCGACACCGCCAGAAGGCGCCCAAGAAACTCCTAAGAGGCCCGAAGAGGCCCCCAAGTGGCCCAAAAGAGGCCCCCAGAAGGTCCCCGAGAGGCCCCCACACGCCTCACCCCTCACCCGTTGACTTCATCCCTCTTCTGGGGGTCGGCGGAATGGCGTAAGCCTCTCGCATGTAAAACTCAGGAACTCGAACAGATGGCACAGGTGCACGGATCTGATGCTGAGCCTTTTCAAAACGACGCTCTTGCATGACAATTTCCCAGTCGCACATGACCAGGGACGAACACTTGCGCAACAGCTGCACCTACGGGGCGGTCTTTCTTCAAAACGGGGATCTCGCTGGACACGGTGTTGAACTGTATTGTATGATCATACCAGTGTGCGGTCCTTCTTACTCGCTGGAAGTATGCCATGACACGACACGAGGGAGTGGGTTCCTTTGCAAGGCGGGGTTTTCGCCTGAGAGGCAGGCCCATGGGGTGTTGGTCTTTCAAGGGCACGCTTCTTGAAGTGGGAAGAAAGCCGTGTAGGGACTTCCGTGGAGGGGACTTTGGACGGGAGGGTGATTGCAGCATCATTGATGCATCTCGGGTTTGCTCTGGTCACCTTCCTGCCTCTCCTCAAACACGGACCCCTGGACCTCTCCAGGGGTGCGGTTTGCTAAAATTCCGTTGGGAATCCAGCCGTGGTGACGAGAAGCCTCCCAGAGCCCCTAACATAGTGAAACAGATGAACAAAAGACTTCGATCCTGAATCCTCGAACCTCATCCTTCTCCAACTCCTCCTCCCCATCCCCCTCGCCTCCTCCTCCTCCTCCTCCTCCTCCTCCTCCTCCTCCTCCTGCTCCTCCTCCAGCTCCCTCGCCTCCTCTTCTCCTCTCCCCCGGAGACGGGGTATCCTCCAGCACCCTGGTTAGCTGAGACTCGTGGTCGGAGCTGACGCGCGTCTTCTCCTCGCGGCGGGCGCCGCCGCGTCGGCCGGCGGCTGGCGGCGGAACATCATCGCTGTCGTCTTCCTCCTCCTCCTCCTTCTCCTCCTCCTCCTCCTCCTCCTCCTCCTCCTCCTCCTCCTTCTTCCGTGCCCATTTTGAATCTCAGGCCGCCGTCCGTTGCCACTGGGGCTCGTGTCCGCAGTAGGCCAGGGCGGGCACGCGGCCTGGGGGGGGGCCCGCACAGGTGTGGCCCAGTGCGCAGCGCACCGCAAAGGTCCACTGGCGGGGGCCCACACGGCGGCTGGGGCTGGCCGCCCGCAAGCGAGAAGCCAAGCAGGCGTGCGAGGTGGCCCCCACGCGCGGCGCGCGGCGCAGTGGCCAGGTGCTCGGCTCCCGGCGCGGAGCTGCGGAGACCGACGCCGCGGCTGCCGCGGCGGACGGCGCTGCCACGCGCGGCGCGGCTTTGCGCGCAGAGGCCCTCCTCCTCGTCCTCCTCGTCCTCCTCGTCCTCCTCCTCGTCCTCCTCCTCCTCCTCCTCCTGCTCCTCCTCCTTTTCCTCCTCCCTCCTTCCTCCTACTCCTCCTCTTCCTCCTCCTCCTCCTCCTGGCCCCGCCGCTGGCCGCCGCCGCCGCGGCGCAACACCCGCTTCACCCGCGGTGCGGCGGCCTGCACCCTGGGCCTCGGTCGCGCCCCCGCCGCGGCCGGCGAGAGAGCAGCATAGGCGAGACGGCAGCGGCCCTCCGCCCACGATCGGGGCACCACGCGCTGCAGGACCGCCGCCCGGCGTGGCCGAGCGGCCGCCCCGCCTCGCGGCTCCGCTCGTGGGGAGAGGAGGAGGAGGAGGAGGAGGAGGAGGCGGAGGAGGCGGAGGAGGAGGAGAGGAGGAGGAGGAGGAGGAGGAGGAGGAGGAGGAGGAGGAGGGGGCGGAGGAGGAGGAAAAGAGGGGAGGAGGAAAAGGGAGGAGAGGAGGAGGAGGAGGAGGAGGAGGAGGAGGGAGGAGGAGGAGGAGGAGGAGGAGGAGGAGGAGGAGGAGGAGGGGAGGAGGAGGGGGAGGGGGAGGGGGAGGGGGAGGAGGAGGAGGAGGAGGAGGAGGAGGCGGGAGGAGGAGGAGGAGGAGGAGGAGGAGGAGGAGGAGGAGGGGAGGAGGAGGGGGAGGAGAGGAGGAGGAGGAGGGAGGAGGTGGGGGAGGGGGAGGAGGAGGAGGCGGAGGAGGAGGAGGAGGAGGAGGAGGAGGAGGAGGAGGAGGAGGAGGAGGAGAGGGGAGGAGGAGGAGGAGGAGGAGGAGGAGGAGGGGGGAAGGCTCCTGGCTGCTCACGGCCGCGCGCCCCAGCGCGCCGCCCGCAACGCGCCGCACTCACCAGCTCACAGGCGGCGCAGCTGGTGGAGGAGGACGGGCACCTCCGCGATCATGAACTTGAAGCTGGACACGTCCAGCACGAGCGGCACCTTGTGGCCGAAAATGGGGGCCCCGCAGGACGGCAGGCGGCTTCTTCATGGTCCTCGAAGCTCGCAGCGACGCCTTGGCCACTGAGAGGAGGGCCTCCTCTGAGACGAACACCTCGCCTCTGAGGTTGTGGTACGCGTTGCACGCGACCACGATGAGCTCGATGGGGCTCGTTTGACATGTCCGCGAGGCCGAGCTTCGCGATCTCGGTGACCATGGGGGGAGCCCTGCACGCTCTGCCCACAGCACGCGCCAAGGGCGCACATGAAAGATAATGTCGGAGTGAGTCTTGACAGCGGCGGCAGCCGAAGATGCAGAGCTTCTGGCCATTGGCGTGGATGATGCGCCTCGATGTCACCCACGAGAAAGAGAGGGTCCTCATCCACGCAGCGGCCCACGACGGCTGGAGCTTGCGCATGGTGGCCTGCGCCATGGAGAACACGTCTGGATTGAGGTTGAAGAACTCGGCAGAGTGCGGGAGTTCGGCCACGATCCTCGAGACAAGGAAGGGGCCTATGGAGTCGGGACCCCGAGCTGAGAGCGCAGCAGCATATGCTTTTCGTTGGGCGAGGTCGGGGCGTCCGTCACTGATGGCTTCCAGCGCGCCAGCAACAGCAGGTCGCAGCAGGTCCGACGGGTAGTAGGCGTGCTCGGTCGAGGTCGTGGCGACCTGGTGCAGCGGCTCCAAAAACGGTGGCATCTGCCACCATGGGGGCGAGCGGTGGAGCGCGCCACGTGCGGCGCCCATCAGCGTCTGCTGGATGCCGTGCGCGTCGGGGCCTTCGTGGAGTCGCTCTCGGATCCCGGGGAACTTGCTGAGCGTCGAGGTCGCGGAGCGGGCGACGGTGGCCACCATCGTGAGCTGGAGCGACCGCGGGGCGTGGACGCCCCACTCTTTGAGGCGGGGCCAGTCTTTGATCCTGAAGGTACCGTTCGGAAACCGCAGGACCGAGGCGTTGATCCAGTTCTCGTTCTTGAAATGCTTGGTCCAATTCTCGTTCCTGTCCTCGGCTACCTCGCCCAGTTCTTCGCGCGAGCTGGGCGAGGTAGCCGAGGACAGGAATCGCACGGCTAGTGGAGAGGGCGGCGGAGCCCATGGACGGGGCATTACTAGCACTGAACATCTTGGCTCGCCACTTGAACTTATTGAAGGCTTTCTCGGATATCAGCTTCTCCGTCGCCCCAGGTCCGAGTAGGAGTCTGAGGTGGGCGAGGCGGTCGCAGATATTGAAGTCCTTGAAGCGCGGGGCGATGGCGATCAACGCGTTGCGGAGCTTGAGGGTAAGCTCGGCGTTGACCTCACCCGCGAGGGTGATGATGTGGTACTTCGGAGCCTTCAGCTCGAGACCCGCGCGCACATCCATTAGGATCATGACATCGGCCAGGTGGGCGAGGTGGGCGACCGCCTCGAGCACGAGCCCGAGGTCGCCAGCGCAGGCGCGACAGAGGCCACGGCCTTGAGCCTCGAGCACCATCTCGAGGTTCAGGAGAAAGCTTGCAGCGCCCATCGCATAGAGAGCGCCGCCCCATCCGCATCCTTGTATGATGCCCGAGGGGACGTAGAACAGGGGGGTGTACTGGCCTGCGCGGAGCGCCATGGCCAGGATGTTGTGGCACATGGGGTCGAAGAAGTTGAGGATCGCCTCAGGTGCGCCCATGGCCTTGAGCGCGAGGCGGATGAACTGGCGTGCGAAGCTGGGGAACGCCTGGGCGATGTCCAGCGACACAAGCACGGGCAGCACGTCCATCGCGTTGGGGTCGGCGGACGCGATGCGGCTCTCGACGTCGAGCTCTAAGACGTTGTAGCCGAAGTTGCGGCAGTGGATGAGCCCACGCTGTGAGGCTGGGACCACTTCGGCTGCGACCGTGGCTGTCGCAGCGTTCATGGCGCTGCTGATGAGTTTCATAGAGGTGTTGCGGAGGCCCAGAAAACTGAGTTTTGATGGGTTACGGTGGCAGCCGCTGTGTTCCGAGTTCTCGGGCTCGTCACCCTTGGGGAGGAAGTCCTGGACCGTGGCGTTGCACCCGTCGGGGGGGATGCCGCCGCTGAGCATGTGGCACATGACGTCCCAGGCGGTCTCAGTGCACTTCTCGTGGGCGGCCCAGGCGACGTACGGGAGTCCGTCCATCCCAGGCGGTAGAGGAAAAACGGGGGGCGAACTTTTTGAACGTCTCGTAGTCAGGCGGGTTGAATGTGTTGAAGTCGGCCTTGGGCGAGAATTGGGAGAGGGAGTCGGTCGCTTTGTCCAAGTCGATATGTCTGCCCTCGAACACTGGCTGCCAGTGCCCCACCAACTTCGGCAATCCTTCCTTCGGCCCCATCGCGGTGCCGACGCTGGTCTTGACGCCTGTCTGGACGAGCCTCTTGCTGGTCGGGCTCCAGAGCCTGATCTCCTTCAGCAGAGCGTGCGATTGAGCGCTGGCCTGCGCGGGGCGCAGGCGCCCGCGCTGAGTGGCTTGGTTGATGGCTGCTTGTCTCTGGTCAGCGCCCTGGCGGAAGAGGTTTCTGGCCCATTCCTCGAATTTGACAGGGTCGACTAGCTTGACCTGTTCGCCGATGAGTGTCGTGCGATCCTGGGCAGCCTGGTGGACGCGGAGTAAACGGGCGGCGAGCCTGCGGTCCTGGCGCCACACAGCTCGGGCGATAGACTTGGCGATCTGGAGCTGGGCATCGCCGCGGTTCGGGGAGGTCTCGAGCATGTGGTCTCTGGCTTCCCTCGCGATCTCGCGTGGCAGCTGTGTGGTCAGGGTGAGCCTGGACGGTGGTGGCAGGTAGCTCATGTCAGTCGCCTCGAAGACGCTGTCGGCGATCTCCTTGAAGACGGGGGATTGCGCGATGGACTGGGCGATTGGCTGGTTCTTGGCAGGCTTGACGTCACGCATGGTGAAGGAGACGAGGAGGGCGGCATAGTCACTAACGTGGCGACGTGACAGGTCGTCCGGGGTGGAGAAGGCGGCGGAGTTGACTGTCAGCTGCAGCATCTGTGTAGGCGTGATGGAGCAGAAGCAACGGTCGATCGTCGACTCGGGCTTCGTCTCAGCGCAGTAGTGGTGGCGTCGGCCCCCTCGATCTCGACCAGGCGTCGCAGCGCGCCTTGCCAATTGCGCGCCGAAGCCTTGGGCGATTCGGTGGCCTCGGTGTTGGCTCTGGGTTCAAGTTCCGTGAGCTTGAGCTTCCCGACGGCAGCGAAGTTGAAATCCCTCATGACGAAGAGGATCACCTTGCTCGGGCCCGCCCTCGCGAGGTGCTGGTCACTGAGGATGCGAGTGGAGGTGCGTTTGATGGCGGCGTTGCTGATATCGTAGTTGTGGGTGTTGTAGAAGTTCAGCTGCTGGTTGTTGGCGCGGAAGGATGTGCGTAGGACGCGCCCAGGGAGGAGAGCTTCGCTTTCGGCGTGGAGGCCTGCGGTGAAGATGGCGGCGACCCCGCCACTGACCATGCCGTTGTGGCCAGGGGCGAATGAGGAGTGCATGTCCAGCGTGCGGTTGATCTTCTTCATGAAGGCGCGGAGCTGCGCGTGGTCCAGGTGCACCTCCTGCATGCCCAAGATCATCTTGCTGAGGGGGGGGGGGGGGGGGGTCTGGAGGCGCGTGGTCTTCGCGGTGGCTCTTCGGCCTTGGTAGCCAGGGGGCGCACGTGCATTCCAGGTGCCGACGACCAGGCTCGGTGAGGGGCCGCAGACGGGCCTCTTCAGGCTGGTCGCGATCTCGTCGAAGCCCAAACTGGGGCGCGGCCTCGGGGGCGACAGCAGCACTGGCGGAGGCCTTGAGCTGCGCGCGGTCGATGCCGAGGGCGGGGAGGCCAGTGTCCTGGCAGGTGAGCACGGGAGGTTCATCACGACCAGGCCGGACGGAGAAGGATATGACGGGGGCCCAGCCAGCGAGGATCCAGCCCTTGATGCGGTCGACCCGCCAGGTATGGTTCGGGAAGTCGCGCTCGAGGGCCTGCCTGATACGTTTGCCTGTGATATCGATCTTGATCTGCTTGGGCGACTTGTCGGGGCCCACGCGCAGCTCGACAGTCCCTTGACCTGCGACAGCTGGGGCATGGATGCGGGTCCAGTTGCCATTGCGGTCGCGGAGGCTGTCAAGGACCTTCTGAACTCTCCTGGGGGCGGGCCCAGGGGGGCCCGTGAACTGGACCGCGAAGAACCGTGAGGTGGGGTTACCTTGAACCTTGAAGTCTGTCTCTTAGACGCTGCAGTCTGTGATCCATTTGGTGAGGGCTCCCGTGGCTTTCTCGAGCGTGACGAGGCCGTCGGCGTGAACTTTGATGATCGTGGCGTCGATCTCTCTGTCGAAATCGCGGCTGATGTACTGGTTCTGCACTAGCTGCTTGCTCGCGACCTCCAGCGCCTGCTGGAGCTCTCTGATCCGGTCGGCCATAGCTGCAATGGAGGCGTCAATCTTGTCGCGTCTGGACTCCAGCTCGCCGACTCGAGAATTGAAAATGTCGAGCTGCTGCTGGAACTCCTTGCGTGTGGCACCGATGCGCTGGCCGACCGCGACGTTGATGTCCTTCTCGATCTTGCCCGACAAGCCGTTGATCCCAGCCTGGGCGGCCTGCAAGGCGGCGGTGATGGGGCCCGTGGCGTCGCCCACCGCCGTGGAGACGGCGGTGTTGATGGACTCCTTGATGGCGCTGTCCATGCTGTCGATCTTGCACTGGAGGGTCTGGACATAGGCCATGGTGGCGAAAGCGTCCAGGTCGACCTCTTCATTTGGTGGTGGCGTACGCGAGCGATCGCCTCTGGGACCAGAAGCAGCGCCAGAAGCAGCACCAGCACCGTCGTCATGAGTCTTGTGTTTCGAGATGCCCCCTCTGCGCAGTGTGTGGTCGGACGCCGCAGGGAGGAGGTCCGACATGCGGGGCGCGAGGTGAGGAGGCGTTCGATAAACGAGGCGCCCACGCCTCGAGTATGCACGAAAACAGTCCGCGGACTAGCGGCCTCCAGGTGTCGGCGCGGCCAACTCAAAACCTTGAGCCAAAATGGCTACGGAGGAGGAGGAGGAAGAGGAGGAGGCCGCGCCCAACCGCCAGCCTGGACTTGCGGGGGCAGGCGACCGGGATCCCGCAGCAGGCGCGCCGCCCGGCCCGGTCGCGAACGCGGGCGGGCCCCACCGCGAAGCCGCCGGGGGCGCTGCCAGAGGGCCCGGTGGCCGCCTCGGGACGGGCGCTGCGGCTGGAGGCTGGCGCTGCTTCGGCGGCGCGCACAACGGGGTGGGGGGGGAAGGCTTCTTAGAAGGAGGCCGCTTCTTGGAAGGCGCCAGCCTTCCGCCTACAGAAGAGGCCCGCGCCTTCTGAGAAGCAGGGGTGCTTCTGAGAAGCCTTCCCCCCTCCCCCTACCCCCCTTTGCGCGTGGTTGGGCCCGACCAAACGGGACCGACACCGCTACTCCCTGGACCTCTCCTGGGGTGCGTTCGGACCAGAATTTCGAGGCGAATCCAGCGGTGGCGACGAGAGCCTCGCAGGAGGCCCAAAAAGGGGGAAAACGAGGGAGGGGTCGCAGTATAGGTACCCTTTCCCAGAGATCCGACGCCGTGTTTTTTTTCAATGCGGGGTCCCCGGATGTCTCGACCCATTCCCCAAGACCAGCTTTGCATCCCGAGTCGTTCTTTCACGGCCCCGAGGCCCGGCGAGGGCCTCTGGAGGCCGAAATGTGCGAAAAACCTCCGTCTTGATTTTTTCAATACGTTGGATCTCTGGGGACGAATCGTTCTAAACGGCCCCTGGAACGTGAGCATCCAGCTGCGTTCGCTCCCAAACCCCACCTCGGGAGAACCCCCCCCCCCTACGGTCAGGAACTCGTGCGGCCCCGTCGACACGCTGCGCCCTGCTAGCTGACAGCGTGTCGCCTCCTCCTCCTCCTCCTCCTCCTCCTCCTCCTCCTCCTCCTCCTCCTCCTCCTCCCCCTCCCCCTCCTCCCCCTCCTCCTCCTCCTCCTCCTCCTGGCGGGCGGCGCCGCGGGCGCAGCGGGGGCAGCCTGCGCGGAAAGCCGGCCACGGCGGGAGGGGCCCTGGGACACACAAACAAGTACACACAAATAACAGGATTCCCTCTATTGTCTGGTATTTTCTGGGTTTTTGTCTTCCCCCCCACTTCCAATCTTTTCCCATATTTTCCTGGGGATCGACGATTAATTGTGGCTGTGTTTTTCCCCCCCTGAACGGCATCGAGGCTCATGGGCGGGCCCAGAGATCCAACGCATTGAAACAAAAATCAAGACGGAGGTTTTTCGCGCATTTCGGCCTCCAGAGGCCCTCGCCGGGCCTCGGGGCCGTCAAAGAACGACTCAGGATGCAAAACTGGTCCTGGGGAAGGGGGCGACGCTTCCGGGGACCCCGCATTGAAAAAATCACGGCGTCGGATCTCTGGGGGCCAGCCGTGCACGTGGGCGGAGCGGCGCTCCCGGGCCGCCGGGCCCGCCGCGGGGAGCCGGCGGGCGTATACTTGCGCCCGCGCCTCGGCCAGTGGCGAGGAGGGGGGCCTGGGGGTGGTATGGGTCCTGGCCGGTGCGTGGCCGATCTGATCGGATCGGTGGTGGGTGCCGTCCATGCTTCTGAGCGTTCCTTTCGACCCCAGTAGCATTCGCAGATCGGCTCGGAGGACAGTCAGACTAAGCGCAGCTGGAGACATTTTGATACAAGGCAGAAGAAGTCATCCGATTACAATGTGCTACCTGAGCGGTTCGCTTGAATTCAATGCCACTAAGAGATCAATCTTCATAGAACTGAGAACACGAAAACACAATGCAACTGGCACCACAAAGTGCAACTGACAGCATGCTGCAATTCCGCCACCACGTAAAAAGTCCGTCCGCCACAGAAGGGATCGATGTGCAATCTGCCACATCAGGAACCCTTTTATGATTCCCCGGGGGACGAGAGGGGGCATGCTCTTGTTAGAACGAATCCAGCGCCCTGTATCCCTGTCGATACCTTTTCAGCAGGGCACCCCCGGAAAGTAACAGACAACTGTGGGCATTCAAGGTTCGCGCGTTTACGACGGGGGGGATGGGGGGGCCGGCGGGCCCTGCGTGCTTATCCCGCCTGATTGAAAAAGCACCCCGAGATAAGGCGGAAGTCTGCTCGACGTGGGGGGAGGGGGCCTCGCGCCAACTGGCCGAGCGATGCATCAAAGAACGCTCGCTGGAGCACGGATCGGCGGTGGACAAACCTCTCTTTAATAAACCACCCTTTTAGCGGTGAAAACGGCCTGGGACCGAAACCGACGGACCCGGCCCCGCAAAAACGACGGCCGCGGCGCCCTCTCGCGAACCGAGAACGGCCAATCCACGAATCGACGTGCCAGGGTTAGGAGGCCTATCGACCTCCGCCGGGGCCTCTCTGGACCCTCTCGGGCGGGGCCGGGGGGAGGACGAGGAGGAGGAGGAGGAGGAGGAGGAGGAGGAGGAGGAGGCTCCGCGGCGGAGGTGCTCCGTCGCTGGAGCTGCAGGGAGCGGGGGAGGCTTGCCCCCGCCCTCGCGCGCGCGCGCCCTCGCGGGCTCCGAGCCGCCGGGGGGGGGCTCCTCCTCCTCCTCC